GGGTGGGATGGACCGGGAGGGGGGTATGGAGGTGGGTGGGGTAGAAGGGGGTCCGGAGGGTTGACTATCGTTGGTCGCCCTCTGCCGGTGCGCGCGCACATGAATTACATGTCAAGAGATGAATGACAGCAGAATCTTTGGGATCTGGGTGAACTAGACTGCAAAGTAAAGTGGACAAATTCATTCATTGACTCATTTTGAAGCAACATTTTAATCATCATTTATTTCACTTATATAATTGTTCTTATATAAAACGTATAAGAACAAGTATTTAGTACACATATAAAACTATATCTCATATAAAACCTTTAAAAAAAAACAGTCAGTGACAAATAAAGTAAAAAAGAGAGATATTCTAAAAATCCCATTTAAAACACGTCCTTATAAATGTAATCTTTGTAGTAAATTTTATACATTTTTGAAACATATTTATACAGTTTGTTTGTTTTAAACATTTCAGTTAACCATGAAGTAAAATGCATTAAAATACTTTTCCTTGCACCTGGAACACATGGGAGTGTATACAACTTAAACTTTTGTATTCAAGTTTTATGCTTTTGTCACATCAACAAATATTATTAAAATATTAAAAATAATTTAAAACAAACTGCTTCGCTCCTTATTTTTTAAATAAATGCTAATAAAAGATTAAAAATATATCAACATTTCCAATTTCCAGCCTTTAAATTAGACTTTTCCGCAGTTACACCAACTTGACATTTTCATGACAGATGCATTCAAGTGATTTTGAAATTGATGCAGACCACAAAAGTTTATTAAAAGATTTATTGAAGTGTTCATTATATGTAAGCCTGATAAAAGTGAGCTGTGTGCTGTTCTGTTTAAATCATTCTCAATTGATATCAGCTTACTCTGAAACGCATTCTGAAATAAAATCAGTGGGTGCCACTGTTCACATGAAATGGCTTTTTTGACTTCTCTTCCAATGACAAGGTTGCATTCAGACATCCTATGATTTTCCTGTGCTCATCTTTAACGTTTAAATTGACCTTAGAGCAATTTTCTGGATTGCTCTTGTATCAGCGAGTGTCCGGCGCCAGTAGAATGTGAGTTCTTATTTAAAAGAAAGGAAGTGGGCGGAAATTATGTTTTTGAGATAAGCTTGCCAACCGACTGTAGTGACGAAGGAATCTGTGGCCCTTGAAAATGGCCTGTCCTCCAGCTAGAATTACAGAACGCAGGACCGGCACAGTCTACTGGTGAATAGAGACATTTCTGAGAGCCAAATAAAGAGCTATGCTGTTTTCCAGAGTCCTCCATATGAACATAAAACTGATTAATGCATTTGTGATGAACAGACGTCATACTTAGTATTAAATGTCACTCATAATAAGTGTCTTAACCTGTGAACTGCAGCTCAGTTGATGTATGCTGTTATACTTTTGTGGATTCCTTCATGCTGTCTTGTAATTTGTACGAATGACTGTTTAACTGTGTTACAATGGTTACCATGGAAGTGTGTGTTTGGACACATAGCAAGGTGGATTAGATGCCATATTCAAACAGGCTCCTGTCAGTTTTAGCTGTGAATTGAGAACATTGCGTCATTCCGGACCTAATCATCAGATCGTCTCCTTGATAGCAATATTCGCCACAGTTTGAGTTCGTTTCCAATGTACACATACATTCTCATTTATTTCCCTTAACTTACCGTGAGATCCGCGTGTTTCAAATCATCTGGAGGTATATTTGTCCTTTGATTTTTGTGGAATATCTGGGCAAAGGCCAGTCATGCCTCCATGACCATCAATGTCTGATCTGACTCTGAAGTTCACTTAATCTTAATGACAGATCAGAAGGCCTCCCAGCTCGAGGTCAAAATATTCCTGATTCTTTCATGACCCAGATAGATAAAAATGTCATTTGTTTTTGTTTAGTTCCCTGTGAAGACCTTTGATGATCTAACAAGAGAGCAATTTGAACGCTCGATTTGAAAGTTACGGTTTCACTGTAGGTAACATGCAGTCAGTTCAGTTTTAAATACAAACATACACACAAACAAAGACTCAGGGGCTAAAGCCAACACTGGAGCGGACTCAGGGGCTGGAGGCGACACTGGAGCGGACTCAGGGGCTGGAGGCGACACTGGAGCGGACTCGGAGGCTGGAGCCGACACTGAAGCGGACTCGGGGGCTGGAGCCGACACTGGAGCGGACTCGGGGGTTGGAGCCAACACTGGAGCGGAGTCAAGGGCTGGGGCCGACAGTCCTTTTCTCCGCATTCTCCTCTTTTGAGCAGAGGTGAAGGAGACAGCTGTTGTCAGCTAAGGGCTTGGGAGTGAATTGGCCGGCGGGCTTGAGAGTGCAGCGGCTGGCGGGCTTGACTGCGGAGCAGACGGCGGGCTTGACGCAGAGCTGGTTCTGGATCGGGGCCGGACGCTGTCCAGACACCGGAGGATACCTTCCCTCCAGCTCAGTCCAGTGGTGTCTGGGAGGTCCACGGGGGCGATGGTAATTGGACCCGATCCAGAACAATGAATTAAGCGTGGCGTCATCCAACACCATCATCATGAAGAGCCCGCAGAATTCCCGGGCGAATTCTACAAAAGGAAGATCTCGGCGAATCTTGCGGCGGTTTCCATTTCGAAACAGGCAACGGAAAACAAAACACTTTCTAAAAACGGAAACAAAAACGAGGAGAAGGGGCACCGCTTACTGTTGGGTCCAGTCTTCTGTCACGGTTATGCTGCTGTGTAGGAACAAGGAGCGCGGAGACAATGGAGAATTTACAAGGAACAGTCTTTATTAACTCCAACAAAGACTCACAGGTAGGAACACACACGCAGCATGGGGAATTGACGTATAAGACTGGACGCAGGACTCAGGAAAACACAAGGCTTAAATACAGGAACTAAACGAGGGATTTGACAAGAAACACCTGAAATCAATGGACACAATCGGAGAAACTGGGTCATGGGGAGCACATGGGGAGCAAAACACAAGACACGGAACACAGGGGCAGTCCAAGGGTGTAACAATTTATACAAATATTAAACACATCTATAACAAAAACAATAAAAACATGAATATATTATAAAAATAATAATAAAAAATATTCATAAAATATATTTTTCTGTATTGTTTTACTGTCATTTTCTTTATTTTTAAATCTGTATTCAACCTCTGAAAAACATTTCATAATTGTACAATTTGACTGGCCTGTTTGTTTAAATTGTTAACATTGCAAACGAAGTTAAATATAAATGTATAATAAATAAATATTAAACAAAACAAACAAACAAAAAAAAAAATATAAATATATTATACAAATATAATTAATACAATTATTATAAATTATTATAACTTAAAAATATTTATAACATGTAATTTTCTGCATTTTAAAATCTGTAAGATTAACCACTGTAAGATTAACATTTCATAATTATACATTTTGATTAGCCTGTTTAATTGTTAACATTGCAAACTAAGTCTCATTTCAGTTTATAAAAATATTAAACAAACACCAAAAAGAATAAAAAATATATTATAAAAATATAATTACGTATATATTTAAGTTAAATATTTGTACAATGTGATTTTCTGTATTTTAAAATCTGTATTCAACCACTGTAAGATTAACCTTTCATAATTATATATTATAAGTTGGCCTGTTTGTTTAAATTGTTAACATTGCAAATTAAGATTCACATAAATTTATATAAAAAAAATAAACACATCTAAATAAACAGATTTTAAAAATATAATTATTATAATACATAATATAAAGTACATTATAAAATGTATAATTATTAAAATGTATTAAAAATATATTTATAAAATGTCTTTATCACTATTTTAAAATCTGTATTCAACACTGTTTAACAGTTCCTAATTATTAAACCAATCTACAGTGAGCCAAATGCTGAAACCAACCATAATTTAATTAAAACAACAACAACAACAACAACAACAACAAATCATTAAAAAAATACTCGAATTGGCCTGAAATGAAAGAAATACAAATAACATATCATAAAATATTTACACTGGAATGTTTATTTTTTATGACTTAAATACATCTGTCACAACGTCATTTTCAAGATGCATCACAAAAAGCAAACAAGTTACATCAGAAACTTCTATGACATGGGACAAACCATCAGAAACACAATACTGAAATATATTATTTGGATCAATAACTGCATAATGCAAAAATATACAGATATGATGCTTTTTAATTGTTTTGGCTTGCATTGTGCACAGTATAAAGGTATCAAGACAAACATACTATATAATTTAACAATAATACCCTATCTGGAATGCCAGTTGCAAAGAGTTCAATGATTTAACTGGAACAGGTAAGGTGGAATTTGATAAATAATGCCTCATGTCTGTGGGCTTGTGTTGAATGCATACTAAACACACCGGTGTGTCAGAACAGTGCATTGTACCAACAGGATCTGGAGCACCAGCTGACATCACTGTACATTAACTGGAAGAT